ACGGAAAATAAAAATACAAATGTTGAAATTTATCGATGGTAGGTCTGTTTAAAATGACAAAATTTTCATAACAAAATTTTTAAATATTTTCTGTCGGTTCAATATCGAGATTCAAATTCAGGCTTGCAAAGTTCAAGTAATAAAATCATTGTAAAATGTCCGGAAACTGAGGATGAAATGGGACCCAAACAGTGTTGTCACTGGTAACAATAGCCTACGCAAACTGGAGGCCGTTGATTTAAAAAACAGATTAAAATATAATTTAAGGAACTTCTGCAGCAAATTTTAGGGCTATGGAGTGGGGGGAAATATTACAGGTTCCGAGACGCCGCCGCATCCTTTGAAAAAAAAATAATGAAATGACGAAATGTTCACGGGTGTATTGAAATTTCGTCATTTGGGTTTCAGTGCTCTTATGATTCATGATGAATTAATTCCAAATAATTTTTATTCCAAAATATTATTTATCCGAATTTTTTTATAAATGAAAATTTTCATGAGAGATTTGACAACGACCGATTTTTGTTCGACGCAGTTGGTATTCTTGTGTCCCGATAAAATCCTATACTGTACTATAGAATCTATAGTACATGCCTTGACGGAGTTCACACGATGGCCTCCATAAACCCAAACTGGAGACCATTGATGTAAACAATAATTAAAAATATAATTTAATGGATTAATTTTTTAAACTCATCAAAGTTTAATAATCTCGCTAATGACTCCTTCCATCAGCCAAAAACATTGATAAATCTCTCCCAAAATTGAATATCAATTACAGTATTGACAAATGTCTTCTGAAATTTTCACCTAAAACTCTTCCCCTCCGCAATAAATCCACAATGACGAGAGCAATCCAAATTTGATTGATCCCATTCTACCTCTTCACCGCCGAGATTGATGGAAATAACTCGCATAATCCCCGCAATCTGGCCCGAATGTTCGACACAAATAATGCTGGAGTGAGTTACCCTCACTTCCGCAGGAAAGGGAAATGAGGGGTTTATCTTTACAGCTACTCGACGACGTCTTCCCCTTCGCATAAAACTCGATTAAACTCGCATTACAAATTTTACGAGTTGAGGACGGTTCTGCAAACCTCTGTGACGTCTTCATGGCTCGTGGAGAGTGGTATCGAAGGTGTGACGGTAAATGGGGATGAAGGGACGTGAAGTTCTCGAGTCCTGTACTTGCGGAGGGAAATGTCCGCAGTCACACTGCACTAGTTTCATTAAGAGACTACTTGGTGAAAAGTAGAGTCGGCCCGGGTGTGGGCAGACGCGGGTGGATATCAAGAAAAACATGTCTCATTAACAAATTAAGTTATTGTGACTATTTAGGGAAGAATACAATTATCCGGATATTATTACTACTTTTGTACCAAAAGTTTTGTTCTTAATTTGTTAATTTCGGAACATCATTTTAGTTTCAAGAAGGACGTCCGAGGATGGGGATGAAAATGAAAACATTTATTTAATTGTTATTTTGAATAGATTCAGCAGCGAAGTGGTAAAACGGTATAAGTCAATTTTGACTATTGACCAGTTTTTTATAAATATCTCGGAATCTAAGGGAGATGGCAAAATTTTTGTTAAAACCTTTTTTGTAGAACCGATTGAGAGCTATTACAAATGTAATTACAAAAATTTCGCTATCTCCGTTTGATTCGGAGATATTCCTCAAAAACTCAACTGGGAGATAAGTCCACTTAAACGGGTTTAGCACTTCGCTACTAAATTTAAATTTATAGTTGAGGACGGTTCTGCAAACCTCTGTGACGTCTTCATGGTTCGTGAAGAGTGGTATCGAAGGTGTGACGGTAAATGGGGATGAAGGGACGTGAAGTTCTCGAGTCCTGTACTTGCGGAGGGAAATGTCCGCAGTCACACTGCACTAGTTTCATTAAGAGACTACTTCCTTGGTGGAAAGTAGAGTCGGCCCGGGTGTGGGCAGACGCGGGTGGATATCAAGAAAAACATGTCTCATTAACAAATTAAGTTATTGTGACTATTTAGGGAAGAATACAATTATCCGGATATTATTACTACTTTTGTACCAAAAGTTTTGTTCTTAATTTGTTAATTTCGGAACATCATTTTAGTTTCAAGAAGGACGTCCGAGGATGGGGATGAAAATGAAAACATTTATTTAATTGTTATTTTGAATAGATTCAGCAGCGAAGTGGTAAAACGGTATAAGTCAATTTTGACTATTGACCAGTTTTTTATAAATATCTCGGAATCTAAGGGAGATGGCAAAATTTTTGTTAAAACCTTTTTTGTAGAACCGATTGAGAGCTATTACAAATATAATTACAAAAATTTCGCTATCTCCGTTTGATTCGGAGATATTCCTCAAAAACTCAACTGGGAGATAAGTCCACTTAAACCGGTTTACCACTTCGCTACTGAATTTAAATTTATAGTTGGACTTCTTACGAAAAATATCCTTTCCTTTCTAAATAAAAGATTGTACAATATCTCGAACCGAATGAGTACAATTGTCTTGCAAAAAAAGCCTAATAAAGGGGCATCGACACTACTAGACCATAAATTTATTAAAAAATACAATCGACAAATGTTATTTGAAAAATATTTTATTGATTCCGTAATTCCGTTATGATTTTTGTAATGAGCAATTTCATGAAAAAATGTCACAAGATATTTTTAACAGACAATTAGAGATGCAAATGCGTCACATGACCCGTCATATGACTTATCAAGAAAAAATGACAGTCATTTTTCATCTATATAGATGAAACTTTTTTTTTTCTCTGTCAATTTTCAGTTGAATTCCTTTTGTATTGGCCTAATCCGCATTTTGAAATGGAAATCACGTTTTTTTTCCATCCATATAGATGAAACTATTTTGTTTTATTCATGACCGTCACAAATTGGAAATTAGTTATGACCGTCATTGTACAACTATATAGATGGTTTGACAACAATTTGGTTACAAATGATTTGTGACAATCATTTGTAGTTGGAAAATTTGTGCGTCACAAGACCCTCACAAGACCGTCATTTTTTGGTCATATGACGCGATATAAAAAATGACGGTCATTTTGCATCTCTACGGACAATTCCTCCAGCTAATAAAAAACTCGTGACATTTTCCCCTAGCCCCATTCCCTCCTGAGATATCACCATAGAAATCATTGACCCAAAACCTCGGAGTTGATCAAGACATCTTGGACGCGGTCCTCGGCGCATAAATCCATGTACATAAGGTGGTAGATACTCCACATATACACCGGTAGTGCAGGTACTTGTTGGAGCAAGTCCCACGTGAATTTAGAGCGGTGGTACCCCGAGCATTAGGACCACAAGGCAATAACCACTCGGTGGAGGTTTATGCTGGTGTATCGTGGTTGGCCCGTTGGGCGAGCGCCCGTTGCACGCCAACAATTTCGTTAATTATCCAACAAAAACACCGGGCCAAGTCTCACGGTACCCAAAGATATACCCAGGATGTTCCCATTTTTTCTTCTAATTTTCCTGTCCTTTTTTTCTCGAGGTAGATACATGGAATTTTACTATTATTGGCTCAATTGATCACTGTTAAAACTGAAGATTGATAAAAACTATGACTTCATAATGAGAATTTTCCATCATTTTTTTCTCAATTTTTAAAGTTTATTTATTTTATGTAATTTTTATTTATTTATTTTTTCAATTTCTCCGGGGAAAGTTTTAGTTTCTCCAGAGATATTTGACACTTACTAGGATTACTCTCAGCATTGGGAATATTACCACCGAAATTTCACCCAAAAAAATTATTCCTGATTTTAAGATTTTCAAAGGTCTTGAAATAAGAGTTTCAACATTCTTAGGAGTCTGAAATTGTTAAGGATATGCAAATACTTTGGCTATTGTTTTTCTACTGAAATGTTTTCAGTTCTGATGTTCCACTGTTGCAGTGGAACATCAGAACTTTCATTGGAGCACCATTTGACCCTAAATTACCGGACATTTTACAATAATTTTATTATTTAAATTTTACAGGTCTGAATTTGAATTTCACCATTAAACCGTTAGAAAACATGTTAAAAATCTGAAAACAAAATTAGAAAGTTTATTTTTCGACGATGATTGATGAAATGATTGAAAAATTGCAATTTTTAAAAATTAGGAGCATTTTCTATAAATAATTTATGAATAATCAATTTTCTACCATAAAAATAATTTTTTCGGAATTATAAAAAATTCCAAATAGCATAGGCCCTCAACTTCCACCGAAATAATTCCTTAAAATAATGAAAAATACTGTTGATTGTCACCAAATATGTTATTATTATTATTATTGCATTTTCAGGATTGTTGTCAGCAAAAATTAGTGACAAAATCGCTGGATTCCATGATTTTCTGACTCGATCCCTAAAAACCAAAACTTATTCTGCCTCTATGCACGGACGAAAAAATGTAATAGAAAAAACTATCGAATTCATTACGAAATTCTATAAAATTTCTATTGAACTGTTCTATTAGTTTTTGGCCGATTCTATTGAAATGTTCAATAGAAAATATTCAGTAGAAAAAGTCAATAGAATTCAATTTTTCTATATAACTTATTCTATTGAGATATTTTCTATAGAATTTTTTCGGCTCAAATTTTCTAAGTTTCTTCGTGTGATTTTCGTGATGAGAAGAAAAGAAAAATAGAATGAAAAAAATTTAGAAAATTTGAGTCGAGCAAATTCTATAGAATATATATGAAAAAAATTTGTTATATAGAAAAATTGAATTGTGTTAACTTTTTCTGTTGAAAAAACCTATCGAATTAAATTTAACTTGAAAAAAAATTTTTAATTATTAAATTTTTTCATGCGTGTAATTCTATGGATAATCATATCCATTTGTCCGTTTACTAATGATTCATCAGCAGAAGCAAAAAATGTGCAATAATCGTCTCGGTTTTCTCAAAAAAAACTCCTATTTTTATTCGAATTCAATCAGAAATGGAATTGTTCACAATTCTGGACCCCTTCTTTTGCTCAACAGGTCAAGACGCAGGAATGGTGCTGTCTCCATTGATTGGAATAATCGTGGGAGCTCTCGTGACACTCGTCCTCATAGTTTTCGTTGTTGTCGTGAGGGCACGGAGAGAACGAATATCCAAACCACGTCACGAAAAACCCGCTGAACTGCGAGAAATACCGACGCAGCAGTATCCCAACCAGAGTCCCCAGCAAACCGTTGAGACAGATCCAGACGTTATTCCGAACAAGTTTGGTAAGCAAAATCAATTTGGAAAATATCAGACCCTGAGGGGAGACGCAGAAGTAAAAGAGAATATTCAATAGGAAATACTTAATCCAAAAATCAATAGATTATGTATTCTTCCTTTTCCATTGAAAACTCGAAGTTGAGAAATTTCTCTAGAAATAATTTCAGTGAAAAAAGTTCTATAAAAAAACAAAATCTATTGATTTTTCGATAAAATCTATGCCATCGAATATTTTTATTTTAAAAAAATGCATTCATTTATTTATTTCAGGATTTCTTTGTCTTTATTTCTATACTAGAGGGCGACACCCCTTGCTCGCTTCGCTCGCCAACCCCCGTATTTCTCCCACCTTAATCTGACCCTCGCGACCCTCATTACACCCCTCGTTACCCTTATTTTAACCCTGGCGACCCTTAGTCTGGCCCTTGGTTTTTGACCCCCACGTCTCTTATTTGGACCTTTACTCTGACCCTTGTGACCCTTAATCTGATCCACATAACCCTCAATCTGACCCCTGTGACCCTTATTTGGACGCTCACTCTGTCCCTCAATCTGACCCTTGTGCCCCTTAATCTAACACTCTCGTGACCCTTATTTTGACCCTCATAACCCTTGAAACCCTTAATTTCGAAGTCTTAATTTCGACTACCAAATTTTTATCTCCAAAACCCGATTTGGATTTTTATGATACAGAGATTTCTTTATTTCTTTATTTTTTATTTATTCATTCGTTCATCTATTTATTCATTCATTCATCTATTTATTTATTTATTTCTGTTTCAGAAGGGCACCTCGTCGAAGTCAGTCCCCCCAGCTACCCAGTGGGCTACCCAAGTGGCCACTGGGTGACACCGGGTCCAACCCCAAGCATCGACGAGCTCTGTCACAAGTTCACTGGTCGTCCCACAGAGCTGAGACTCCCTTCAAGAAGCACAATACCAACTCTCTCGAACGCATCAATCACAGGTGTTGTGGTTGGTGCAGGCCAAGGTGTCTTCGTCGCCGGTGAATGTTTGGACGGTGAGGCTATCAAAAGACGGTTAATGGCCAACAGACTTCCCGAAAGCTGTGTCTAAACTCTCGAAAAATTGAGGGAAAAATATTAATTAGTCGAAAAAAAAAAATTCAAGAACTTTTCCGAATGAATTCAACGATTTTTCGTCGTTTTCGTCGAGTAAGAAGGATAAATGTGATTCAATGTATGGAAAAATCTGATTGAAGTGCTCTATGAGAAATTCTATAGGCTGATATAAAAGGGATTCGAACAAATCTATATAGATTCTATAGACTCTATAGCATCTATCGATTCTATAGCATCTGTAGATTCTATAGAATGTAGATTTTATAGCGTCTGTGGATTCTATAGATTCTATAGCATCTATATATTTTCTATAGATTCTATAGGTTTTATAGATTTTATAGATTCCATAAATTATGTGGCTTCTATAGGTTCTATACATTCTATAAACTATACAGGTTCCATGGGCGCTGTAGATTCCATACATGATTTTTGATCCCCTACAGAAGAATAATGTTTATAAGAGAATTGAAGAAAAACATTTTTCTACAGAACTTATAGACTCATTCTGTAAATAAATTGTTCTGTAGGAAATTCTATAGATTGGCATCAGAAGAATGCGAACAATTTTCTAGAATGACTAATCTGGGTTGGGCGCTATAGAATATGCAAATTCTATAGACTCTATATTATCTATATATTATAGATAATCTGTACGGAATTTTTCTATGAACAGAAGGCTGCCTAAAAAATTATCCGGACAAAGCATTCCTTTACAGAACCCATAGACTCATTTTCTAGGGAAATTATTCTATAGAAAATTCTATAAGTTTTTCTAGAAAAAATGGAACACTTCTATAGAAAATATTCAAGATCCTATAGATTCTATACATTCAGGACTGAAGTTTGGCTTGTCTATAAGAAATCATCTGATAAATAAAAGGATAATTTTTGTAGGACAATCCGAACAGAACATTCTTTCACAGATTCTATAGACCCATTTTTATAACAATTGTTATATAGGACATTCTATAGTTTGTTCTGAAAAAAATTGGAACAATTCTATAGGAAATGGATGGGATCCTGTAAATTCTAAAGTTTCCATAGATTCTGTTAATTCCATGAATCCTATACATTCTATAGATTCTGCAGGGAAGTTTGAATTTCCTACAGAAAATCGTCGAATAAACAGAGGAATAATTTTTATAGAATCTGAACGAAACATTTTTTCACCGAATCTATAAACCCGTTTTGTAATTTAATTGTTCTATAGACAATTTTGTGAGTTACCTCCGAAGAAATTCGAACAGTGCTATAGAAAATGCGTAGGATCCCATATTCTCTGCACAGAAATTTGTATTATCCATGAGAAATCATCCCATAAACAAAAAATAGTGTTTATAAAAAATATGGACAAACATTTTCGAACAGAATCTATAGACCGATTTTCCAAAACAACATCTATAGAATTTCTCCTAGAAAATCTTATGAGAAAGTTTTTCATACGTGTATAAACCTCGATTATTATTCGGGTCAGGGTGACCTGGGGGTGAGTGCTTTGCTCCAGTGAGCCACAATTCCATTCGATACTCTGAAAAGCTACCACAAACCAATTATGTAACCCAGACCCATTCTCAATTCGAATTTTTCCACGAAATACGTGATAGGAGAGTTTGGATTTCTCAACGCTCACACACACTTGGCTCAGCATCGAGGAAGATTAATGGTGGAGGCGCGTTAAACATTGTGAGCAATCGGAGAAATTGGGAGACAGATGGAATGGGTTCGAAGTCAAAAGTGAGAGAAGCTTGATGTCTTGGGTAATTTACTTGAGGTCTGGGAGTTCTTGTGATTCTGTTGGGGGGGAATGTCGATACTGCGATTAACGAATGAACATTGATCCGACGGTGTGGGAGGGGCGAGGGGGAGGGGGTGAAGATTGGAGTGAAGAGAAGGAGTGAAACGTAATTGAAGAATTGATAGGTTTTCGAGCAATTACGGAATTATCTCACATTATTGGAAATTTTCGGGAGATCCTTTGAAAATTTTTATCGAGTGACTTTCGCTGCAATTGCAAAGCATTTTTTTCAGTGGATACTCGTTATTTGAGGGATGAATCAATAGCAACAATAAATTTCAGTGCATTATTCCATGAAAATTAATAGAAATCATGGAATATTGGGTGATATTCTTGGATTTTCAATCAATTGAGACTTGTTTGAAATGGTTTGATGATGTTTCGAATTTTTTTTTTCTATGATTTTTTGCTCCCTCAATCGAATTCAATGTCGCTTTGATTAACTTCCGAGATAATTACGTAATTAACAAATAAGAAGTATTGATGAAACTCTGTTTGTTAATTGTGAATGTAAATTCTGAAATTTCAAGCCTTTTTTCAATTAAAAATCACTGTTTGAGGAAAAAATCAATGAAAACTATAAGTTTCAGTTGAATTATTCTATAAAAATTAATGGAAATCATGAAAACTATTAATTTCAACTGATATTAATTTAATCAATTGATATTCTCGGAGTACTAATTAATTAAAATTTCATGTATTGAACTTTTAGATTTCATGCTTTTTGCCTCTTCAATCAAATTCAATGTCGATTCAATTAATTTCAGAGATAATTACGTAATTAACAAAAGAGAGGTATTGATGACACTCTGTTTGTTAATTTGTCAATTATCTCCATAATAACTACATTGTTTATGTAAATTCTGAAATTTCAAGCCTTTTTTTCAATTAAAAATTTACTATTTAAAGGAGTAATCAATGCATACTACACATTTAACTTCAATTATTCCATAAAAATGAATAAAAATGATGAAAAATTAGGTGATATTCTTGGATTTTCAATCGATTGAGCCGTCATTTTTTGAACTTTTTCATTTCATTAGTTTTGCCTCCTCAATCGAATTCAATATCAATCTAATTAATTTCCCAAATAATTACGTAATTAATAAAAGTGAAACGTTAATGTAAGTCTGTTGATTAATTGCTAAAAAATCGTGACTTCCGCCCAAATTTCAAGGCTTTTTTTTCCATTGAAAATTCACTATTTGAGGAAAGAATCAATGAAAACTATAAGTTTCAGTTGAATTATTCTATAAAAATTAATGGAAATCATGAAAACTATTAATTTCAACTGATATTAATTTAATCAATTGATATTCTCGGAGTACCAATTAATTAAAATTTCATGTATTGAACTTTTAGATTTCATGCTTTTTGCCTCTTCAATCAAATTCAATGTCGATTCAATTAATTTCAGAGATAATTACGTAATTAACAAAAGAGAGGTATTGATGACACTCTGTTTGTTAATTTGTCAATTATCTCCATAATAACTACATTGTTTATGTAAATTCTGAAATTTCAAGCCTTTTTTTCAATTAAAAATTTACTATTTAAAGGAGTAATCAATGCATACTACACATTTAACTTCAATTATTCCATAAAAATGAATAAAAATGATGAAAAATTAGGTGATATTCTTGGATTTTCAATCGATTGAGCCGTCATTTTTTGAACTTTTTCATTTCATTAGTTTTGCCTCCTCAATCGAATTCAATATCAATCTAATTAATTTCCCAAATAATTACGTAATTAATAAAAGTGAAACATTAATGTAACTTTGTTGATTATAATTGCTAAAAAATCGTGACTTCCGCCCAAATTTCAAGGCTTTTTTTTCCATTGAAAATTCACTATTTGAGGAAAGAATCAATGAAAACTATAAATTTCAGTTGAATTATTCTATAAAAATTAATGGAAATCATGAAAAATATTAATTTCAACTAATATTGATTTAATCAATTGATATTCTTGGATTATCAATTAATTAAAACTTCATGTTTTGAACTTTTAGATTTCAGGCTTTTTGCCTCCTCAATCAAATTCAATGTCGATTCAATTAATTTCAGAGATAATTACGTAATTAACAAAAGAGAGGTATTGATGACACTCTGTTTGTTAATTTGTCAATTATCTCCATAATAACTACATTGTTTATGTAAATTCTGAAATTTCAAGCCTTTTTTTCAATTAAAAATTTACTATTTAAAGGAGTAATCAATGCATACTACACATTTAACTTCAATTATTCCATAAAAATGAATAAAAATGATGAAAAATTAGGTGATATTCTTGGATTTTCAATCGATTGAGCCGTCATTTTTTGAACTTTTTCATTTCATTAGTTTTGCCTCCTCAATCGAATTCAATACCAATCTAATTAATTTCCCAAATAATTACGTAATTAATAAAAGTGAAACGTTAATGTAAGTCTGTTGATTAATTGCTAAAAAATCGTGACTTCCGCCCAAATTTCAAGGCTTTTTTTTCCATTGAAAATTCACTATTTGAGGAAAGAATCAATGAAAACTATAAATTTCAGTTGAATTATTCTATAAAAATTAATGGAAATCATGAAAAATATTAATTTCAACTAATATTGATTTAATCAATTGATATTCTTGGATTATCAATTAATTAAAACTTCATGTTTTGAACTTTTAGATTTCAGGCTTTTTGCCTCCTCAATCAAATTCAATGTCGATTCAATTAATTTCCGCGATAAGTACGTAATTAACACAAGAGAGGTATTGATGAAATTTTGTTGATTAATTGTTAAATTATCTCCATAATAACTACATTCCTGATCGATCTTGAAGTTCTCCACAAAAAACCGTTTTCGGTATTTTCCCTCAAATCCACAGAATTCACAAGGTAATTCCACATTCATAATCCAATGAGAAACAAACCTATTACGTTTCACTGAAATTACTCCTCCCCAGGTTTCTTCAACTTCCTTTCCCTCAAAAGCACCAGATGTCATGAGCGCAGAGGTGGGAGAATGTATGAGTGACTTGGTGGAGAATAGAAGGAAAATTGTTGGGGCGAAATGAATTTAGGAAGTGCCATGTGACAAAGTGTAAAAAGAAAATTACTTTCTTCTTTTTTTGGTGAAACCGCATTCCCTCGGGTTTTTTTCCCTCCACAATTTTTTCCCCATTTCAGTGGTTTCCCAGCGACAAAAAAGTGTTCATAAATTT